GTGGCAGAATACAACGGTGTAAAGCTCTTTGCAACGGTTAGGGACGGAAGGCAGATGTTCGCCGTGTGAACGCCGGTAAGTACACCGATTCCAACTGGCACCTATTCCGTCGCAAATGCCCCATCTGAACGCACCCACTGTCTCCTGTAACAGGACACCTTTTAAAACGAACATATTATTTAAAAAACATTTTCTGGCATGCATACAGCTTCCCTTCAGTCATACAGTCCAATTTATTTATTTTTTGTATATGTGCTGCTGAAGTGAGCACTCAGTCATACAGTGAAGGATTCCTGTGCTGTGGTGGCCGTTGCTGCTGGAGCAACTTTTAAAAAATTGGCACAGCCAAGCAGAAACAGTGCGGGGTGTGGGCAGTGAGCACCAGGTACACTGGGGCAATCTCTGGACAGCACTATTTGGAAGTCATCGGAGAAATCCGGTTTTATTGTGGGAAGGTAGAGAGGCGGGTGAGGAGATGTTGTTCGATATTCCATAATGGTATCTCAACAAGAGCCACGTTCTTTTAATGTATAATTTTATTTGAGAATTTAATAACAATACAAGGTAAGTACAATAGATGTCTGCAGATGAAGTACAAAAATAGGTTAGCAAAAACATTAATGCTTAAGTATGTCCAGGCCAGTGCTTCCTCTGAGCTGTGGAGTCTTGTGAGCAAAAATTCTACTTTGTGAGCTACTGGCATTAAAGTTGTGGGCGAGCGATTCGGCTACTGCATAAAGTAGTTTGTTCTGGAGCTGTCCTTCCTGAACTAAGACAAAAACGTGGGAACCGGAGGCTAAAAAACTGTGAGCTAGCTCACACTAACTCAGCTTAGAGGGAAGACTGGTCCAGTCTGAAGACACCAGAGAACTATATTACACACTGCAAAACATCTCTTAAGGCAACAATTGTATAAAAACTACATATCTTTACCGGCAAATTTTAAATCAGTGTTCTGAAAGTAACTTCAGATATTATCTTAGCTCTAAGCCAAATAATGTTTCAGGTTTAAGTTTCAAAAGTATATCATTGATTTGTATAAAGGATTTGCTGGAATTACATCAGATTGAACCATATAGTTAATGAGTGAATACCAGGATGCTATCAATTTTTCTTCAAATTTGCTGGAGAAGAGATTGAGTATGCTAAAAATTTGCTGGAGAAGAGATTGAGTATGCTAAGTGACAGGGCTTCTTTTGTAGAAAAAGCCCAGCAGGAACTCATTAGCATACTAGGCCACACCCAACAGCAGAAACAATTAGCATATGAGGCCACACCCCTGACAGCACAGCTCATTAGCATATTAGGCCACACCCCACATGTTAACAGAAGTGTGGTCATCCAACCACACCCACCTTTTGCTTCTTATTCTGTTTACTTTGTTGTCAAAACCCAGGGCTTTTTTTGTAGCAGGAACTTCTTTGCATGTTAGGCCACACACCCCTAATGTAACCAATCCTAATGAGTGTCTGCAGTTAGGTGTGGCCTATTATGCTAATGAATTCCTGCTGGGCGTGGCCAACTCAGGAGCCAGCCAGAACTCCGTTCCTGTACGTTCCTGTCCAAAAATAGCCCTGCTAAGTGATATTTTGGACATAATGAAGTGGTCCCAAATACGATTTTGCCAGGATTGGATCACGGGGGGAAGTTTCTCTAGCCATGCCGTGGCTATGGTATTTCTGGCTATGGCTAACAAAGTGTGGATCGAAGTTCTTTATAGTTTGCCGAGACCCTATAACACTGATTTACCGTAAAAAGCATACACGTCTTAAATATGACTATTTTGTGGTGGTTGTTTGTTTGTTTTTATAGCACCCCGGTGGTGAAGAAGTTTTAAGGGAACAGGCAGGCGGAGATGCTACGGAAAACTTTGAAGATGTCGGCCATTCCACAGACGCTAGAGAACTGTCAGACACATTTATTATAGGGGAACTTCATCCAGTGAGTACACCTGTTCACGGATAGGCTTATGTGTTTCATAGCTTTCATATCTTGATAGACGCGCCCAACTTCAAGAGATTGCAAAACCGTCTCTTCTCGTCTTGCCAAAGTACTATGCGCTTGGAGCTCAGCACAGATGTTGCAAAATCTCAGCAATTATAAATGTGTTAGTTGTTCTCCCCCCCCCTTTTTTGGGGGGGGAGTGTCAATCCAGCTGTAGAATGAAAGGGCTTCCCCCTCCCATTGCTGGATCCCTGCATTACAAGTGGCAGAGTTCACTGGTGCTTCTTTGCAATGTCACACACATATCTCTGTCAGGTTTTGTCAGTCCACGTTGGCATATTACAGTAGTGTGTTAGGGTGAAATCTGGGATTGTGGAAAGCAGTGTTTAAAGGGGGGGGGAAGTGAAGTAGTGAAGGTACATGTCCTGAGATTTCTGCTTTTTCAGAGGGCTACCCTGCTTTGTGCAGGCCATGATTTCACATATCTGCCATGTGGGGGTTCCATAAGAACATAAGAGAAGCCAATGTTGGATCAGGCCAATGGCCCATCCAGTCCAACACTCTGTCACACAGTGGCCAAAAATACCAGGTGCATCAGTCGTCGTTTCTCCAAGCTAAAGAGCCCTAAGCGCTTTAACCTTTCCTCATAGGGAAAGTGTTCCAACCCTTTTATCATTCGAGTTGCCCTTTTCTGGACTTTTTTCAAAGCTATAATATCCTTTTTAAGGTGTGGTGACCAGAATTGCACATAGTATTCCAAATGAGGTTGCACCATTTATTTATATAGGGGCATTATGATATTGGCTGTTCTGTTCTCAATACCCTTCCTAATAATCCCCAGCATAGCATTGGCCTTCTTTATTGCAGTCACACACTGTCTCGACATTTTCAGTGAGTTATCTACTACAACTCCGAGATCTCTCTCTTGGTCAGTCTCTGCCAGTTCAGACCCCATCAACGTGTATTTATATTTAGGATATTTTGCTCCAATGTGCAGCACCTTGCACTTGGCCACATTGAACCCCATTTGCCACATTGATGCCCACTTGCCCATCTTTGACAGATCCCTTTAGAGTGCCTCACAATCCTCACTGGTTTTCACCACCCTGAACAACTTCGTATCATCCGCAAATTTAGCCACTTCACTGCTTACTCCCAACTCCAAATCATTAATGAACAAGTTAAAATGCAGTGGACCAAATACGGAAGCTCCTCTATTAGCATGTTCACAGCCTGGGTGACTCCTACAAGATAATGACTCAGCCCTACCCCACCTTCCTGGGTAGATATAAATTACCCGCCTACCATTTTTCTTCTCACTTTGACACAGAGAGTACTCTATCTTTCTGTGTTATACCTCTGAGCCAGTCACAGCTACTGGAGAAACGTCAGGTCCTACAATGCCAAGATCACAGCCAGACATCCCGGAAAATCTACAACAGCTAATGAACTCCGGCTGCAAAAGCCTTCAACAACATAATGCATTATTGATATGACACGGCTCATGCTTACCCTCTTCAGGCAATCTGCATAGTGTTGTATGTAACCAGTGTGTTCTTTCCCTTGCAGGATGACTGGGAGAAAGTTCAGAAACCCACAGTAAGTCGGTTGTAATACTTTAAGCATTTTTTTTCTTGCACACAGGTTTGAACTTTTAACAAATTAAGCCTAATATTGATGTAATCCTGATATTTTGGCTGTCATTAAGAGCAGGGCTACGTATTCCAGCACTGAGTAATCAATAGAAATTAGGAACTAAAAGTCACAAGCCATGAGATTGCAGTCCTGTTGGTTGGTGACCGCATAATTTTCAAAGAACACCCACGATACTGGTTTGTTTTTATATCTCAGGCCTATGCAGAGTTAATCTAATCTAAGGCCATTGAGAGCCAGTTTGGTGTAGTGGTTAAGTATGTGGACTCTAATCTGGGAGAACCGGGTTTGATTCCCCACCCCTCCACTTCCAGCAGCAGCTGGATGACCTTGGGCAAGCCATAGTTCTGTCAGAGCTGTCCTTGAAAGGTCAGTTCTCTCAGAGTTCTCTCAGCCCCACCTACCACACAGGATGTCTGTTGGGAGGGGAAGGGAAAGGAGTTTGTAAGACACTCTGAGACTCCCGAGTGAAGGGCGGGGTATAAATCCAATCTCTTCTTCTCTTCTTCTTCTAACTATGCGTAGGATTGCACTGTAATTAAACTTTCAGGTGGATTAATATAGTAGGGACTAATATTATATTATTATATCCTGCCAACCTAGCAGTTCGAAAGCAAGAAATTGCAAGTAGATAAATAGGTACCACTTCGGTGGGAAGGTAACAGCATTCCGTGCGCCTTGGTGTTTAGTCATGCCGGCCACATGACCACGGAGACGTCTTCGGACAGCGCTGGCTCTTTGGCTTTGAAACGGAGATGAGCACTGCAACCCTAGAGTCGGATTCGACCAGCTTTCGAGCAAGGGAACCTTTACCTTTACTTTACTAATATTATATTATATATTATTGACTGTGGGGTAATTGCTGAATTGAAAGAAATTTCACAGGTATTTTCAGTATTGAATTGGACAGTGTACTCACGTCTTGGGAGTTTTCAGGTAGTAAATTTGTGTGTGAGGGCTTCACTGCTTCTTTCGGTTAGGGCTTTTAGAGGTGGACAGTGTGGTCTATTCTATTACACAGGCTTGGGTCCCGCACAAGACTTCTGTTGATGAAGCCGGAGACGACTTTCATTGGTTCCCCCTTCCCACTGCAGACCTCCAGCCCACCCTGCTTTTCGCTCAGATCGGGGTGGTGGGAGGTGGCATTTTGAGCTGCGGCAGAAGGGAGGAGGCATGAAGGCTGTTTCTGTGGATGGGAATCTCTGCCACATGTAGAAAACCTCTGTCAGATCTCAGCCGCTTTCTCTTTTTTTTGCAGTTGAAACGTGTAGCTTTTATCCTCTAGTTCGGTGAGCCCCCAAGACAGTTGCTGTAATTGCCAGTTTGGTGTAGTGGTTAAGTGTGCGGACTCTAATCTGGGAGAACCGTGTTTGATTCCCCACTCCTCCACTTGCACCTGGCTGGATGACCTTGGGCAAGCCGTAGTTCTGTCGGAGCTGTTCTTGAAAAAGAGCAGTTTCTGTCAAGAGCTCTCTCAGCCCCACCCACCTCACAGGGTGTCTGTTGTGGGGAGTTGCACAGTTTTAGTTTTTTTCTTTAAAGCTGAGAGAGTTTCATGCTTGTTAACATCTAAATTGAGGGAGCTAAAAATTACATTGTAAGTGCTTTGGAGGGAACCTCTCTCCTACGTCACAATTTGATATTAACGAATAAGCCCCAAGTATAGTGTTGTGGCTGCGCAGAGAGACCAGATTCCATTGACATCCTTCAAGCATGTCCACGAGAACAGCTGTTGCTCTGCTTCTGCCTATTTTTACTCCATTGTACCCCACAACTTTTCCTAACTAACTAGAAGTTCCATACTAATGAAGCATTGCTGTAATGGAGTGGATTCTGTATGACTTCGGTGAGCACTTGTACAACAGAGGCTCTGGGTTTGCAAGTGAGCACAGAAGCTTAATCTTAAATTAATGAGTAGAAGGTTTGCAACAAGCATAATGTAATTCATGGGAGTTCCAAGGGAAAGCACTTTATCCCTAAAGCTAATTTTGTAGGAAGGAGATGCCATTAAAATTCTGTAACTCACTTATGGCTTTCTTTTTCAGGATACTTATATTTCCACCGTTGATTCTAGTACCAGGTATAGTGTGCTTTCTTTTTTATATATATATTTTTTATTTTTATACTACACAAACTACATATGGAAAGGGGAATACAGGAGGTGCTAAAAAAACTAAAACATAAAAGTATAAGCTCAAGGCAAAGATCATAATAGGCAAAGTTGTTCTCATATGTCTTCTTACAGTATAACAATGAAAAAAGTAAAATTATGCTACTGTATGCTCTATTTCTTTGTATAAAGCTAACTTAAGCCCTTCTGTTTGGGTATCTTATACTCTAATTTTTTTAAACAAAAGATGAATTTTCATACTTCTATTATAGTGTGCTTTCATTTAACTAATGAAGTCAGTTAATTGTTTAAGCAATTAGACTAGGCCAAGAGTGTTGAACTCATTTGTTATGGGGGGCCGGATTTGATATAAATGGGACTTCTGTCGGGCTGGGCCATGTGTGTCATAAAATGTAATGCCAGATAGCGGAGATATAAACTTTATAAAGGATGCAAACACAAAGATTTTTTTTAACTTAAAATAAAAACATGCCTGAAACATTAGCATCCTTGCAATATTTTGTTTATTTAACAGTCTCTGATAACTGACACTTCTTGCTCTGAATTACTGCATCAAAATGTCTGTGCTGTAGCAATCGGGGAGGGGGAGGAGCCTCAGCCCAGTGCAGGGAGCAGAAGCTTGCCCATCTATCTCTCCTGAGCGATTGAGGGAGTCTGGGAAAGCAAGCTATGACACAGCAGCAGCAGCAGAACTGGAAGCAGGAGATGGCCAGTTCCACTGCAGGCCTGATGGAAGCCCTCCGGGGGCCTGATCCGCCCCCCGGGCCGCATGTTTGACACCCCTGATCTAGAGTCCCCCCCATGCCCCTTTCTTTCAAAGAACTGTTGGGGTAGTGAGAAGTGTAGATCTTCTGATGTTTTGAAAATATAAATGCTGTGATTCCAGTGGAATAGAACCTCTGGATCGAATCTATTCAGTTTTCCAAAGTCGTCCTGTGCGGGAACCCTTCCAGCCCGCCCTAAAAGAACTGCACTGGCTGCCTATAGCATACCGGATTCGGTTCAAGGTGCTGGTTATTGCCTTTAAAGCCCTTTATGGCCAGGGACCTGCGTACCTGAAGGACTGCCTTTCCCCATATGTTCCCCAGAGAGCACTGTGATCGGGGACCCAGAATCGGCCGGTTCTCCCTAACATCAAGGAGGCCAGGCTTGTGTCAGCGAGGGCCAGGGCTTTCTCGGTGGCGGCTCCATTCTGGTGGAGTGAGTTCCCGGAGGAGATCAGGGCCCTGCAGGACCTGTTACAGTTCTGCAGGGCCTGTAAAATGGAGCTCTTCCACCACGCTTTTGGAGCCGCCACTACCACTCTCACCACCGACATCTGACAGTTATTGGAGAGCGACCCCGACCCCCCCCCAGGTCCCCTAAGTATAGCCTGACCCGAGTGCCTGGGACACCTGTGGTAGACCATGATGCTTGACTGTACTCTGAGGAGTTAATGCTAGCACTTTATTAAGTTTCATAGTTATGGTTTTAAATTTATGCTTGATTGGGTTTTATTATTTATTGTACTGTTTTCTATTGCTGTAAGCCGCCCTGAATCGGCCTTGCTGGGAGGGCAGGGTAGAAATCTACTAAATAAATACATCTTTAAGAACAGCCATGTCCAACTTTGAACAGGTAGTGATCTATTTTTTCCGGCCAAAAGTGCCGGTGATCTACCACCATGAAAATAAAGTTTCAAATTCGATTTTAACCCACTAAAGTTGGGTTCCACCCCCCACCCCCCAATTTGGTCCAAAACTGTCACTGTCCCAAAGTATTAAAGATCAAGAGGAACTGAAGACCTCTGGATGATGCCAAAACCACACATGCAATTCTAAAAGTAAAAATAAGAATTCATCATACTGGCACCCAGGGCTATTTTTGGGCAGGAACGCACAGGAACGGAGTTCCGGCTAGCTCCTGAGTTGGCCACGCCCAGCAGGAACTCATTAGCATAATAGGCCACACCCAACAGCAGAAATTCATTAGGACTGGCTACATTAGGGGTGTGTGGCCTAACATGCAAAGGAGTTCCTGCTACAAAAAAAGCCCTGGGTTTTGACGACAAACAAGGTCAACAGAATAAATAAATAAGAAGCAAAAGGTGGGTGTGGCTGGATGACCACACTTCTGGTAACATGGGGGTGTGCCCTAATATGCTAATGAGCTGTGCTGTCAGGGGTGTGGCCTAATATGCTAATGAGTTTCTGCTGTTGGGTGTGGCCTATTATGCTAATGAGTTCCTGCTGGGCTTTTTCTACAAAAAAAGTCCTGCTGGCACCAATAATCAAATACCACCAAACCATCATCAAAAAACCCCCCAAACACCTGTCCAGCAAACCAGGAGACCAAGTGGGGCTGGTGATCTACCTCCTCCGCGATCTACTGGTAGATCACGATCGACCTGTTGGACATACCTGTTTTAGAAGTTTCTGGGTCGGTATGAAAAAATAATGCCTGCTTGTTTCTTCTAGTTCATGGACCACCTGGCTGATTGCAGCAGTAGCTGCGGCTATCGCGGTCTTTCTGTACCGTCTCTACATGTCTGAATAAGCACCGTATCGAGAAGCCATAATGGAAGAGACTGTTTTGGTAAAGAGAATGAAGAATGCAGATTAATGTTCTTCATGTCAGGACAATATCTGGAAACCATCCATCCTCCTACCCTTCAGAAAGCCAAAATAAAGTTTCTTTGACTGTGCACTTTTAATCCTTCCTTTTATTCAACTTTTAAGTGTTGAAGCTGTCTCTTATCATGTTAATCTGTTAACTATATGAGATTGGAATTAAGAACACTGAGGCTATCTGTGTATTCTTATGAAATGTGACTTTATTACTTAAAGCTGTTTGATTTCTTTCCCTCCTTCATAAGAACGTAAGAGAAGCCAGTGTTGGATCAGGCCAAATGGCCCATCTGATCCAATTGTGCTTCTCTTGTCAACATAAATGGCAGGCAGTGTTCCCTCTAAGGTTAGTGCGAGCTAGCTCACAGTCTTTTAGCCTCCGACTCACACGTTTTTGCCTTAGCTCGGGAGGGATGGCTCCAGCGCAAATGAATTTTTGCAGTAGCCAAATCGCCTGCTCACAACTTTAATGCCAGTAGCTCACAATGTAGAATTTTTGCTAATAGGATTCCACAGGTTAGAGGGAGCATTGATGGCAGGCAGAGGACTTTGTCTTTTATCTGTAATTCTTTCATTACAGCTGTTTTCTTTCTAGTTAAATACCCATTTTTACAGTTGTAACTTCTGTCTTCCTAAAGGGGGAGGAAGAAACCCTAGCTTTAGCATGGGAATAATGATATCTTAACACTCTGGCTTGAACCAAAAGAAGCTGGTGTTGAAACAGAAAGCAATTGTGCCCCCCCCCCAACTCCAGCCACCCTCCTGAAAATGGCTCTAGAGCAGGGGTGTCGAATTCATTTGTTATGAGGGCTGGATCTGACATAAATGAGACCTTGTTGGGCTGGGCCACGTGTGTCATAAAATGTAATGCCAGGTAGCGGAGATATAAACTTTATAAAGGACACAAACAGGTTTTTTTTACTTAAAATAATAATATGCTTAAATCATTAGCACTCTTGCAATATTTTGTTTATTTAATTGTCTGATAACTGACACCGCTTGCTCTGAATTATTGCATCAAAATGTCTGTGCAGTTGCAATCTTGAGTATGCTGTTCAAGTGTGTATCTGTAAGCTGCAAACCTACGATGATGTAGCAGCAGCAGCAGAACTGGAAGAAGAAGCAGAAGACAGCCAGTTCCACTGCGGGCTTGATAGAAGCCCAGGCCCCCGGGTCGCATGTTTGACACCCCTGCTCTAGAGACCTGGCCTACACATAAGTAAAGGTGCCCTCAGTTTGCACAGCAGCATCTTTGGACCAAGCTCTGTCTCTGATAAGGCAATATATTTGTAACTATCTCTGTGCTGAAATTTCAGTATAAGCTTTTGCCAGTCAGAAAAAAAAACCCCTTTCTCTGCATAAGTTGCATAAACAGGGTGGTGTTATTTCAATCAGAATCCCCATGTGTGTTGAGATCTTGTGAACTTGGCCTTCTTACACTACTCAGATTACTGTAAAACCTGCCTTGAATACCACAATTGTAAACAAATACATGAATGTCTTGAATCTGTTCACATGTCCTTTTGATAAAATAATGGAACAATATGAAAAAGAATAAGTCGTGAACGTCATATGCCCATTTGTTTTGCATAACTCTCCTTGCGTGTACATATGATTTTACTTGTTAATTCTTGTGTTATTCACATGGATAATGTTTAAGGAATAAACTCCGATGTTTACTGTATCTTGTGATGTCCTGTTTGACAGAGGTATGGAGTCAAGCTCAGCTGATATTAATGAAGGGGTGTGCATCAACCTGGGTAAAGAGTATAGGGTTGCTAACTTGGGAAATTCCTGGCAATACACGGGCAGTTCTTATGGAAGGTGATGCTGGGTGGGAGCTCAGTGAAGAAGAGATTGGATTTATACCCCGCCCTTCACTACCCAAAGGAGTCTCAGAACAGCTTACAAACTCCTTCCCCTTCCCCTCCCCACCACAGACACCCTGTGAGGTAAAAGGAGATTGGATTTATACCCCGCCCTTCACTACCCGAAGGTGTCTCAGAGCGGCTTACAAACTCCTTTCCCTTCCCCTCCCCACCACAGACACCCTGTGAGGTAGGTGGGGCTGAGAGAGCTGTGACAGAAACGACTCTTTTTCAAGAACAGCTGTGCAAGAAGTATGGCTTGCCCAAGGACATCCAGCAGCTGCAAGTGGAGGAGTGGGGAATCAAGCCCGGTTCTCACAGATTAGAGTCTGCACACTTAACCACTACACCAAACTGGCCACTACACCAAACTCAAGATGTGATGCCACAGACTTTGCCTTCCAAAGCTCAAAACACGTCTAAATTGATGTAGTAACGTAAATATTTAAATTTAATTTCTTTAGAGTTGGTTTATCAACCGAGTACATTCTTTAAGTGAACTAATAACGCTAGATCAATAAACTCTGTATATGAATGCAGGCATTATATGAATGCACCGAATACACGGGAAACACGCCAAAGTTAGACAAACATAAAGAAACACCCTGTTAGAACAAAACACAGTCTACTAATATGCACTTGTGTCTTCATATATTGATTTAAATACAATAGAGACCCTAGTGTATCTTATACATAGTCATCATAATACAAAAACCTAAAGAACATTATATATCTACTGACAGAAAAGTCCACAGCTACAGAGACCTATTCCAATGCTGTAGACTATCTTGCTCCTGAAAAGAGACTGATGAAGGTTGCAACAGTCATAAATGATGAGAGATGCAGCAGGCTGTTATGTTCTCGACAAAAAGTGATTCAGCGAGCCTTCTATAGAATTGTTGATTTATGCACTGTAGCACTGCGAGCTTTGGTTCTGGGAAAAATATGTCTGCCTGAAGAAGAATCTGTCGAAACACACAATTTTTGCCTGGGAGGCGTGTTGCTTGCTTTGATGCTTGCTGAATCACTTTTTGTGGAAAACAACAGCTTGCTGCATCTCATGCTTGCTGAATCACTCTTTGACACACAAGGGGGTAGTCAAACGGAGATAATAAAACCCACTGCACGGAGGGAGAGTGTTACATTTAGTGGTCCAACTTTTGTAAGGTCAATTCAGGAGGAAGGATCTCTCACACCCAAGCTCCAGCTGATGGCAGCTATTGCCATGTGGAGCAGACAACTGGTAGCTTGAATAAAGGCACCATGGTAACAGGAAGCTTTTAGAACTTTGTAACTTCTAAATTAAAGAGTTTTCCTTAGAATAAGATCAGCTACGGCGGGGGTGTCATGAGGACCGGATCTGACATAAATGAGACCTTGTTGGTCCTGGCCATATGTGTCATAAAATGTAATATTCTGTTTGTTTAACAGTGTCATAACTGACACTTCTTGCTCTGAATTATTACATCAAAATGTCTGTGCTGTTGTAATCTTGAGTATGCTGTTCAGGTGTGTATCTGTAAGCTGCAAACCTACAATGACGCAGCAGCAGCAGCAGCAGCAGAACTGGAAGAAGAAGCAGAAGACAGCCAGTTCCACTGCGGGCCAGATAGAAGCCCTCCGGGGGCCTAATCCAGCCCCCGGGCCGCATGTTTGACACCCCATGAGCTACGGCATATATAGAGTATGGGACAAAGGAACTGCATCCTTACACCTTTCATATTTCTTACTCTGGTCTGTTGCAGTGCTGAGACTATGTGTGTGGACGCTTTTATTTCTAATAAATCCTCTACCACACAGACCTCCACTGTTTGAACACAACTGGTGCCCAAAACTGGTCAGTTGGCAAACTGATATTTCCCTGGGAATGCACAACTGCAGTAGGCTGTAACTGTTGTAACCAGTCACTGAGTAGCAGGAGATGGAGGCAAAAGGCAGGGTCTTTGAACAGCAATGTGGGAAAGGGAGCTGGGACCACTGGCCCTCTTGGTAATTCCTAAGACAGCCAGTGGGTGGCAGTAGTACTGAAAGAGGGAGAGAAAATCCCAGGAAACTGGCAGGCTGTTAGGTGGTTGCAGATGATGAGGTTCCTTGGCGACTGAACAGAGGAGCATTTGCAGGTCAGCAGGGCCATTCTATGACATTGACTGTTGGAGTCCAACAAGCCAACTTTAACAACATCACTGATTACACAGAAATCAATAATCTACGCCTCCCACTCTCCTCTTCCTAGAATGTCTAGTTCACTGGGCACTGCATTTAAAATGTGTCTTGCTATTTAATTCAGGGCTATTTTTGGGCAGGAACGCACAGGAACGGCGTTCCGGCTGACTCCCAAGTTGGCCACACCCAGCAGGAACTTATTAGCATAATAGGCCACACCCAACAGCAGAGACTCATTCGGATTGGCAACATTAGGGGTGTGTGGCCTAACATGCAAAGGAGTTCCTGCTACAAAAAAGGCCCTGGGTTTTGACCACTAACAAGGTCAACAGAATAAGAAGCAAAAGGTGGTTGTGGCTGGATAACCACACTTCTGGTAACATGTGGGTGCGGCCTAATGTGCTAATGAGCTGTGCTGTCAGGGGTGTGGCCCAATATACTAATGAGTTTCTGATGTTGGGTGTGGCCTATTATGCTAATGAGTTCTTGGTGGGCTTTTTCTACAAAAAAAGCCCTGATTTAATTGATAATACTCTTTATAGTATTTAACAAGTGGCCTGGTTTATTAAAAATACCTTGATACATCTATGTCAAGCATCATTAGTTTTCTTTAGTACAACGATATTCTGATAATGAGAAGAAAAAATGACGTGCAGAAGGTCAATTAAGTTTATTGAGCTGGGTGTTTTAACTCAACATTCCTGTTTTAACTCAACATTCCGGCTGCCAGTTTCTCATCTGTCTACTAATTTTTGCATTTTTTAAATATAACTCTAATGCTTTTTTTATATAGTGTGGTTAAATGTGATAAAAAGTTGGGTACCGAAATGTCAAAGGGGTTCAGTTGCTGCTGTTGCTGATCAAGCTGGTATTATATGTGAGCGTGCACAATGTTTAGCAGTAAAATCAACAAATGGATGTTTTATCACTGCACTAGGCATGTTAAGATTCTTGAGTACACTTCTTCGCTTGGTTTCTAATGTCATCAGACTATCACTTTACAGCTATGGCTTCATTACTTTCAGCCAGGTCCAAGTGTCCTTCTTTTGTCTAAAAAAAGAAAGTATGATATATGAAAGTATGATTTGCTGTGGTGAAAAAAGATGCTAAAATTAATAAATTCATGTTGGTAATAGCAAGGCAATTGATTGTTTATAGGGGAATTATTAGGGTGCAATCCATCCCTTCTGCTTAGTCGCTTTGCTACTCTGTATTCACGGCTGATATTCTCACACACCAAATTAATAATTTCCCCTAGAAATGGGATCTGCCCTGTTGTACCAGTTTTTCAGGTCTACAACTTTTCAGGTTTTCTACAAATGTGGGAGGGACTTTACATCTCGGGAAAGTT